AATATAATCCTTTCTCTTGCCAGACACTCAGTATACATTTGCAGGAATTATAAACTTTTTGAAAATAAGTCACTGGATTGCCGGAAACTGTTCATAGGACTTTTTGAAAATCACAGGAAAACACTCAGAAGCATCGACTAACAACTTTCTCAGGACATTTTTGGACTGCTTAGCAAATGCAAATATTTTCAGGACTGGACAATCTGATTTATTTTTGTGCATAAACATTAATTTTCTCACTGTAGGTAATTAAGAGGGAAAGTATTTTTGTTGATATGGGTTTGTAATGAGTTTCTTTTTGTAGTTTTTTTCTTTGGTGTTTCTGTAAACAAATAATGTTTGATTATTCTTTTTGTTCACTGTATATAGTTGCACCTTTTCTTTTAAATTGAATTTTTTTCTAATAAAAAAAAGATATAAAAAAAAAAATCTCTACATAATCTCTGCTTCTCTGACAGCAGACGGCTGATTATCAGTGTATGAATGGAAGCCAGGGAGGTTCTTCCTGCTGCCGCACAGATCCAACCCAATCATGAAAAATCACCTGAATTCATGATGCTAGACAGCAAAACAATGATTTTATTATCCACAGGAAGCTGATATCTAAACATAGGAAACATGTTAAAGGTGGAACTGATGAGTTAAAATGTTTTTATTATTTAGTGTTTGTCCCTCAGAACAACAGATTCTGCAGAGTGGGAGAATAGAGATAGAATGAAGCAGAATGATGAAAAAGGGGTCCCTATGTCCTCCAGCAGTCTAAGCCTATAGCAGCAGAACTATAGAGATAGATCAGGATAACCTGAGCCACTCTAACTAGAAGCTTTATCAAAAAGGAAAGTTTCCATGAATGATGGAGCTGCTCATTAAACACAATGATGGTCTCAGATAGAACAGGAGAGAAGGTTTTATCCAGGCCTATTCTACACCATTAGAGCCTAAAAGACATTAGTGTTGAATGTTCCTCAGATAGTTCCTGTGGAACTCTGGCTTGTTGTTTGATCCAAACAGAGAACCAATCAGAAGGAGAAGCTGCTGGGAATCCTGGATGACCTCAGCGCTGAGGAACTGATCAGTTTAAATGGTTTCTGCCTGAAAAAAGGCTTCAAAATAAAGGCTGTAGAGGCGGCTGGCAGAGAGCAGGTGGTGGATCTCATGGTGCAGCTCTGAGGAAGACGCTGTCAGAGACATGAGGACAGTTTTAGAGAAAATCAACAGAAATGATCTGATGGAGCGACTGGAAACCAGCAACTATTGACCAGAATGAGGAGTTGAACAGATTCAGGCTGGTTTTTGGGACTTTGATGGTTGAGTTTAATCTGCTCTGTCTGCAGGACCATCCTTTAAAGGCTTAAACCAACCAGGGGTTTTATTTAAATAGCCCAAAGCTCAGCTATAGTTAAACCGGTATGGACAGCTATGGTTGATGGGAGGTCAGAGGTCAGAGGAAACAAACAAGGTGATTATTGTTGGTTTCCCTGATCTGGTTGATCGTTTTCTGATCGTTTTCTGAATGACTTCTGGCTTCAAAGTTCAATTACTGAAACTAAGAACAAATATTTAGATGTTGTCTTTGCTGAGTTTGGGGGGGCAGGGGATCAATTATCCTCCTATGGAAAACCCTGATAACATATAATTATGTCGTTTGATCAATATAATTATTAAGCTTATAAAATGGAATTATCATATTTATACAACTACCATATTTTATCAAAATAATTATCACTTTATGCAGTGTAAGTATCGCTTAATATAAATATCACGTTAATTAATTATCAAGCTAATAAAATGGAATTATCTCATTTAATCAATATAATGATCACATTTAAACATTATAATTATCATGTTTCATCAATATAATTATCACGTTTAAGAGAAAAATTAAATAAATGCATTTTTTACTGGAATCTGATCCTTTATTTTATTTTAATGCTGGTTCTCTGAACTTTACCAATAAAGTTCTGTTGACGCCAGAGAGGCTCTATAACGGGACTAATATAGTTAATTTCATAAAATGTGGCGTTTTGACATCGAAAGATTAAGATTCATTTAGTAAATATTATTTTCAGGCACCAGCTTCTTGTTTAAATGACAGCAAATGTGAGCAAATATGGGTGAAGAAATATAAGTTCTAAATAAAATAGTTTGAACAGAAAAAGCTCGACAGTAAACTCTTTTTTCTTTGTGCCTTTTCATCAAGTTTGAACTTCTACAAGGTGAGAATCTATCTGCATCATTGCCTAAAACGTATTTCCATATGTAGGCATCCAGTTAACATACTATACCAGCTTTATTAATGGAGCTCTTTAAAGGCTTAGAAGTCTATAAATCTGAGCCATAAACACAAAATATAAAGAAATATTTACTGAGGTGAGAAAGAAAATTCCAGAAATATTTTGTCCAACTAGTTGAGGTTCCAACAAGTTAAACAGATCAGGTCAGAAATGTTCATCAGCCTTTTTAATTGGCCCCTTTTGGTTCAATTAATTAATTTAATTCAGAATTGATCAGCAGCATTCAGGCACGTTATTAGTTATTGTTTTGTCAGTGATCACATAGAGACGCAGCAAACAAACACGATTCTTCTGTTTTTACCCAAAACACTGATTCCTGTCATAAAGAATAAAGAATCACTTTGTGTCGATCTGTCAGGGTTCTGCCCTCTGATTAGGTTCAGTTTCTGTCAGCAATGGCTGGTGAGATTGATTGAGGACCCAAATGCAGAGATGAGTTCTGATTTATTTCATTGGTTAACTGAGGCAGACATCCAAAATGCAAAAATATAAAGAATATTAAACCTTCAGGGAAAAACTTACATGGGGAGCCAAAGATGAAGAAATAACAACAAGGAAGCAGCAGTGAGCGACTGCAGAGGTGGAGTATTTAAGGAGAACAGAACAAAGGAAGGACTAACGAGCTAAATAAGGAGCAGGTGTGAGTGGAACTGACAAGGAGTCCAAAAGGAAAGGAAACAAACACAAGGGGGCAGCAGAGACCGATTGAATCCAATGGAAAATAAACCAAAGAAAAAAACAGAACTGAAACTAAAACCTCAGAGTCACAAATGTGGAGAACATGACAGTTTCTTTGTTGTTCTGCGTCTTTATCGTTGTTTTCTGTCAGTTTTGTATTTCTTGAGTTACAGCGTTTTGCTGAACTGCGATCATCAGAATCAGCTGTGCTAAAGCAGAGAAACCTTAAAAACCTGCAGGAATGGCTGCTGTAGGGAATCCATGTGACTCGTCTTCCCCATCAGTCCATCCTTTGTTCTGTCAGTTTTATATTTCTTAAGCTGCTCTCTGCTGCCCCCTTGTGCCTGTTTCCTTTCCCCTTGGCTCCCTTCTAGTTAGTTCTATCCACACCTGCTCCATATCAGCTCATCAGCCCATCCTTTGTTCTGTGACCCATATAGGCTATACATCACCTCTGCATTTCCTGCTAGTTTCTTGTTTTGTTGCTTCATCTTCTCTTTGCTCCTCTTTAAAGTTTTTCCTGAAGTTAACTTGATTGAAAACTTGATTTTATGTTTTTGGACTTTGCTTCAGTTGTGGGTACGGCAGAGTATTAGGGCCAGACGAGGTTTTATTTTTTTTTATATGAGAATAAAGTCATAACATCATAAGAATAAACTCGCAATACTATGAGAATAAAGTCGTAAATTTATGAGACTAATAAAATACGAGAATAAAGCCATCATTCAACAACCCGTTTCAGAAAGAAAGCTTGGAGCTCCGCCCAGCAGATGATGTCAGACCAGCTCCACCAATCAGCAACCAGAGTCCACTTTGACATCCTGCCCAGTTTGATGCTGCTGCTAAAAGATTTCCTGATTTATCAAACCGATGCTAAAGTAGAACTTCAAACGATGCTCCACATTCCTCATTTAGGGAAGAAAGGGATTCTGGGAAGAGTTGTTGTCATGTTTGGGTTTTGGTTCCTAGCCCACATGCAGAACACACACACAGAGACTGGGGAAAAAGTTCAAAGGTTTAATTAATAAATGGTACAGAAAACAGATCGGGGGGGTAATCAGGTCCAGGGCTGGTCACGACGGGGTTACTGTTCTGGAGGTTGAGCTGAGCGGCAGAGGGGGGAACCAGGAGGGTTCAGAGGCTGTCGGCAGGCTGAGGGCTTGGTGGAGGCTGAGCTTGGTAAAGAGCTTGTAGATCACCAGGTTTGAGTTTCCCTTGCAGATTCTTCTGAGAGCCGGCTGGCAGGTCCTTGGCAGATTAGCAGATCTTTGACTGGTTTTGTTCTCCAGGGTTCTTCTGAGATCAGACAGACAGATTTCCAACAGAGAAACTCTTCAGGGGGTTTCTGGTTTCAGACAGGTTCAACCATAACTGACTAACACTCTGGCCCCGGAGTGTGGTCCTCAGCCCACTTAAATGCTGGTCTCCTGATGAGCAGATGAGGTACAGCTGGTGAAGTCAGCTCCAGCTTCAGGAGATCCAATACGCCCTCTGGTGGAGAAAAGATAGACAGACCCCCATATCCCTCGGCGCCCTCTGGTGGGCAAGCCTCAGGATCCCAACAGATGTCATAAAATAAACTTTATTCTTGTAATTTTATTCTCGTAAGTTTAGATCTTTATTCTTATAATGTTACTTTATCCTCATATGACTTTATTTTCTCAATGTTACGACTTTATTCTCATAATTGTATTAGTTTATTTTCTTAATGTTATGACTTTCTCATAATTTCAAGACTTTATTCTCGTAATATTACGACTTTATTCTGATGACTTTATTCTCTAATTTAAAACATTTTGAAAAATATTGTGTCATACGTGGGAACCTTATTAAATCAGCAAACCTCTCCTCTGCCTCCTCATCTCCACATTTAGGTCCTTCAAAAAAAAAAAAAAAAAACCTCCACAAAAATGGACGCTTTCCCTTTAAAAACTGCATCTATAAGTAATGAACTATTATTAATAGTGGGGATTATTAGTAATTACATCAAACAAAACAGAACCTCGAAATCTTTAAAGAATTATGTGGTTTATTATCATGATACAACATAATTAAGTCCTTAGCTAATAATACAAAGGTAGATGTGTGCAATCTAATAAAATATTTCTTATAAATAGGTGAATAGATTTTATAATATATAATCTTACATTACGTAAAAATAAGTAATCTGTCGCTTGGTGACTCATCTTCCTCAGGTTGTCCTTCATCTTCTCTGGTTCTCGTTCTGCTCCCTAAACGGACCGACGCTCAGCGGAAAAATGCGTTTCCAGATCTCCAGTGAGGTGAAACGGAATAATCCACGTTAGTGCGCGGAAAGGGGGGGCAGACATCCTGCAGTGTCTTTTTCAGTGCTTTGATAATGCTGCCTGGACAGTGTTACAATCAACTGTACTGTAATATAATCACAGTTTTTAGAAAAATACAGTTTCCAAATAAAGGCACTCAGTTGGTCTGATGACAAAAAGGCCAACATTTTAGTTTCCACCATAGAGAACGGAAAGAGCTTCAGCTGACGCTCAGATCCACGCATGCAAGCTCGCAATAAGAGACAAGTAAATATTCAGAGCCCTGAAAACAATGAAATCCTGAAGTTAACATGAATATAATTGTTATTGTGGAGAAAAATCTAAATACGAATAAAAACAAAAGCAGAAAAACCACAAAATCTTTGAAACTCTTGGGATGAGATGCTGACTTTGGACAATAAAGATTATCCGTTTTCATTTTTTCTCTTTTCCAACTTGAATTTAAACTAAAATAAAAAGCGTTTCCTGCAGGAAGATTTGCTTCATATTTAATAAAGTATTTAACGGTTTTCTTACTGCAGGCCTAGAAGTTTTCCTTTCTACCTAAAAGCACCAAACTCTACTCTATTGGACACAGATAAACAGAGGAACCCGGCCAGAACCCAAATCCAGGATAAAGATCTTGGGTGAATTTGGTGTTCAGGGTGTAGAGATGGATCGGTTTAGCAGAGGAGGCTCTGTAGAAGGACAGGCTGCCGGCCGATTGGTCGACGTACACGCCTATCTTATGGTAGGGAGCGGAGGAGGAGCAGGTGGAGATGAACTCCCTCTTGTTATCGTGGCAGACGGAATAACAGCCGTCGTCGGAGCAGCTCAGACTCCAGGACATGTTGTTGAATCCGAACTCGCAGTCGTTGCTGTTTCCTTTGCGTCGGACTCCTCCGTAGCTCACAGAGATCTCCACCTTCCCGCTCCATATGACCTCCCAGTAGCAGCGGTCAGGAAGGCTTTCATTGCACAGAACCTGGGGCCACCAGTCGAACCTGTGCGGGTGATCAGGATACGAGCGGACCTCGTCCACACCCGTCACCTTCCTGTCGTCATCGGACAGTCGCAGTTTTCCATTCACCGTGTTTGGGTCGATGGTGATCCGACAGGAATCTGGTGGAGAAAAACCATCCAGCTGCAGTTATTGATCAATTACTGACACTTTAATGACTCCTGAATAATTATTACTTACATTTCCTCAGACCTGGTGTCAACCATCGGGCTCCAGATGGCTCCACCCTGAAAGGAGGAGGGGCTAATTTACTATAGATTTTATTACATCTGTGCCACATGCTCATAAATAACCATGAAGCAAACATCTGCAGTGAGCATCTCCAACCTGAGTGTTTTTGGTTTCCAGGAAGAATCCAGTGCAGTCAGCTTCTTCACTCCGTCTCCTGGATGGTTGTAGCTCAAGTCCAGTTGATTTAGGTGGGAAGGGTTGGAGCGCAGAGCTAAGCTCAGAGAAACGCAGCCTTCCTCTGAGATCAGACAACCTGACAGGCTGCAGGCACACAAACGCATCGCGTCATTCATTATTATAGCATGTTTTTCTTCTGAGGTCGAAAAGAGCAAATGTAATATTATATTCAATAAAGAGACAATTTAGACCAACTGGCTCTAATATCTTTAGAGGAAAGGATGTGAACCAAGTACCAGGTCTCTGAACCGGGTCAAGGAACCAAAATAACTGAATTTTACTAGAAACGGTCTTCAACTGTTCCAAAACAAACATTCTTAAATCCACAAAACCGGTTAATAACGTTTTTATTTTTCCTTCTCTATATATTTTAATAAATTTTCTCAAAGCATAGCCAATGTCAGGGAGGCTCAAACCATTTCCTGTTCCTTTTCCACTGCCACCCCAGCAAGTTGCCGAGACACAACTGAGCTATCATCAAACGTCAACAAATGTAACCGAGTTAAATTAACCGGGTCCAAAATAATAATGCTAACTTAGTAAGTCACGATAAAGGTTGCAAATATACACTACCGTTCAACAGTTTGTCCTTATTTCTGAAGGAAAATCTCTGTACTTTTCAATAAGATAACTTTAAACTAGTCTTAACTTTAAAGAAATACACTCTATACATTGCTAATGTGGTAAATGACTATTCTAGCTGCAAATGTCTGGTTTTTGGTGCAATATCTCCATAGGTGTATAGAGGCCCATTTCCAGCAACTATCACTCCAGTGTTCTAATGGTACAATGTGTTTGCTCATTGGCTCAGAAGGCTAATTGATGATTAGAAAACCCTTGTGCAATCATGTTCACACATCTGAAAACAGTTTAGCTCGTTACAGAAGCTACAAAACTGACCTTCCTTTGAGCAGATTGAGTTTCTGGAGCATCACATTTGTGGGGTCAATTAAACGCTCAAAATGGCCAGAAAAAGAGAACTTTCATCTGAAACTCGACAGTCTATTCTGGTTCTTAGAAATGAAGGAGGAATTGCTAAGAAATTGAAGATTTCCTCCAACAGTGTGTACTACTCCCTTCAGAGGACAGCACAAACAGGCTCTAACCAGAGTAGAAAAAGAAGTGGGAGGCCGCGTTGCACAACTGAGCAAGAAGATAAGTACATTAGAGTCTCTAGTTTGAGAAACAGACGCCTCACAGGTCCCCAACTGGCATCTTCATTGAATAGTACCCGCAGTAGCCTGTTTGTGCTGTCCTCTGAAGGGAGTAGGACACACCGTTGGAGGAAATCTTTAATCCACTGGACTTTGTTTCCAAGTTTGAAGACGTTTCTCTTCCATCCAGGAAGATTTTTCAATTCCAAATGTCAGAAATAGCGTTTAGTTCCAGGCTTTATACAGTAGCCCAACAAAGCCTGGTTGAAACGGATGAACGGGTCCCCCCCTTTGGAATGGGGGTCGTTTGGCTTCTTTGTTAGCCTGCAATGCCCCATGCCTGTCTATGTCTCTGAAAGGGGGGTCGTTAGAGGGAATAGTTGGCCTGGCTGAATAGGAGAGGTCTTCTGTTCTCTAGCGGGAAGGAATCAACTCTATCGCTACATTTTAGGTTTTTTAAAAAGCTGAAATTGGAGTCCTCCTCGGGACAAGACTCTGCGATACATCTGGACCAGAATGTTCACATTTTGGACAAAGAAGACAGGTGGCTTAAACAGAAGGGGGTGGACTTTACTCAGAATTCTGATTTTAATCTCAGATTTCTGACTAAATTCTGAGAATTCTGACTGAATCCTGTCAGCTAACAAACTGTCAGCTAATGGCAGCCATTACTGTTTTAGAGACTAGCTCTCTTGTTTTAATCACCTTCTGCTCTTCCATTAATCAAATAGAATCAGCAGGGACCCTCAGGGACGGAAAAAGTCGCCTAATTCCATCATTTTCCACCAATGTGTTCCTGTTTCTCCCAAACTACTCACATCTCCTACTCCATGGTGTCCATCTACATTAAGATCCACAATTCTGAGATTCAAGTCAAAATTCTGACTTTTTTTTACCATATTAAACTGAAATAAAATTTAAAAATCAGTTTTTAAATACTTTTTATCTTTTCAGTGGCCGTAATCCTCTTCCGTCTTCCATCTACAAACGCATATTATCTCATTTTAAGAGTGAAGGAGCTTTACTCCATTGGCAGATCATCTTATTTACCTTCTTAAATAAAGGGTAAATAAACTTAATTTAAGAAATCTACTTATTTCTAGGTTGTTTTTGCAGCGCAGGTATTGATAACGTTGATAGCTGGACAGATCCATCATTTTCAGTTTTCAGTAGATATTCAAATAGAGGCTTTAAAAATAATAAAATGAGACGCAAATCAGAAAAGACGAGAGAATCACTGAGAAAAGGAAGAAACAGATCCCTGTAGGTCAAAAGCAAGAGATTCAGGAAAGAGAATCAATCTGAATCTGTGAATCAGTAACTGAAAGTGGAACTGCATTAGTGGGAGTCAGGGAAGAGGTAGTAAAGGAAGCTGGATCCTTCCTATCTATAGCTCCTTGATTTAAGGACCTACTGATGTTCCTATCTGGCTCCATAAGGAATCCCACAATCCTTTGCAGGACAGGATGCAAATTTCTTCCCTTGTACTCTGTGTGACACATTGAAATAATGTTGTGTGTTGGAGGGCTGTAATCTCAATTGTGAACCTTTACCTTAGAGACTCCAGCAGACATTCTGGACTCCCGAGTCCTTCGGACAGGAGCTTCACTCCTGAATCCTGCAGGTCGTTGTTACTCAGGTCTAGTTCTCTCAGGTGAGAAGAATGAGAACACAGAACTCTGGAAAGGTCCTCACACGTTTCGGGCAGGAGATTACAGACACTTAATCTGAGAAGACAGAAGTAGGAGCAGTCCTGGTTAGAGTGGGGCCCTAGGCAAAGACAGGCAGGGGCCCCTCTGAAATGAGAAGATATAAAACAGCCCCATTCTCCAGATGTAGAAATGTTAATAGAATAGACATCCATTATCTGTTCTAGGTTGTGTCCCTCTCTTCTTGTCCCTTTTCTTCTTGTTTTCCTCTCTATGTTTTGTACTCAGCTGACTTTTCATGCTGTCTCTAAAGGAATGAAAGATTTTTTCCAGGCACTAAGCTCACTTAGCTGATTGCTCCTTCCTGTGTTTCCAAAAAGGCCAAAGTAAATAACCCAGTCCTTCTTTTCACTGTAGACAAGCCATGATCTGCTTCTCTGTTCTCCATTTTTCATTTGGATGAAATAATAGCTGCATGAATCATGACAGCAGACAAGATAGAGGAGAGCAGGAGGCGGGGTTACCAATCTACTTGCTCTGGAGAGCAGAGTTCGCTGCTTTTAGATGTTGTCTCCAAAGTCTCCAGTAGCAGAAAAAAGTCTCTAGATTTGGCGCTAGGAGCTTTTTAGAAATCAAAGTGCTAGAGGGGTCTGAAAAGTGGCTAAATATAGCGACTAAAGCGCTAAGTTGGCAACACTGCTCTTTGCATGGTTTGTTTTCAAATGGTTTGCTGCTGTCTGTTTGGACCTTTCTGAACATGTGCAGCAAATGGACTGATCCAATATGGTGGACACTGAAAGGGGGGGGGGGGGGGGGCTGAGACACAATATAAGCGTTCTGATGGCATTTTAGCGAAAGGAAACATAATTAATGTGCACAAATAATGAATAACTGTATTAACCACACATGTAAAAGGAGATTTATGGGCCCCCCAGGAACTTGGGGTCCTGGGCAACTGCCTAGTATTGCCTAATTGTTAGCCCCCCCCCCCTGTCAGAAGCAGTTCAGTCATCTATTTTTACTGGATCAATAACGTGTGTCTTATACTCACAGAGCTTTGTTCGACTCTTTGAGAACGGGGAGCAACTTCAGACACGCCTGATTGGAATTGAAGAATTCCTTCAGGTCAAACAGATCCAGGTCTCTTTCTGATGACAGTAAGATGAAGACGAGCGCTGACCACTGGGCTGGAGACAGATTTTCTGAGGAAAGGCTTCCTGACATCATGGACTGTTTGACCTCTTCAACAAGGGCACAATCATTCATTTCATTCAGACAGTCGAACAGATTGATGATTCTGTCAGCAGTCAACTCTTGGCTCGTCTTCCCCTTTATGTACTGGATTGTTTGGTCGTTGCTCTCTGAGCTTGGTTCTGTTTGTTTGATCAGACCATTCAATAGAGCCCGATTGGTCTTCATTGAAAGACCCAGAAAGAACCGGAGGAACAAATCCAGGTGTCCATTTGGACTCTCTAAGGCCATGTCTATTGTACTCTGGTAGAAATGCTGTTCTTTGTCTTTTCTTGTTTTAGACTTTGGGAGGGTTTGTTCTTCTGCTTCCTTGATGAAGGTCAGATGGACGTGAAGAGCAGCCAGGAACTCCTGAACACTCAGATGGACGAAGCAGAACACCTTCTCCTGGTACAGTCCTCTCTCCTCTCTAAAGATCTGTGTGAACACTCCTGAGTAAACTGAGGCTGCTCTGATATCGATGCCACACTCTGTCAGGTCTGATTCATAGAAGATCAGGTTTCCTTTCTGCAGCTGATTGAAAGCCAGTTTTCCCAGAGACTCGATCATCTTCCTGTTCTCTGGACTCCAAGGTGAATCTGTCTCAGCTCCTTCATCGTACTTTACCTTCTTCACTTTGGTCTGAACCACCAGGAAGTGGATGTACATCTCAGTCAGGGTGCTGGGCAGCTCTCCTTGGTTCTGTGTCTTTAACAGATCCTCCAGAACCGTAGCAGAGATCCAGCAGAACACTGGGATGCGACACATGATGTGGAGACTTTTAGATGTCTTGATGTGGGAGATGATCCTGCTGGCCTTCTCCTCATCTCTGAATCTCTTCCTGAAGTACTCCTCCTTCTGTGGGTCATTGAATCCTCTGATCTCTGTTACCATGTCAACACACTGAGGAGGGATCTGATTGGCCGCTGCAGGTCGTGTGGTTATCCAGAGGAGAGCAGAGGGAAGCAGTTTCCCCCTGATGAGGTTCGTCAGTAGAACATCCACTGAGGTGGACTCTGTAACATCAGTCAGGACCTGGTTGGTTTTGAAGTCCAGAGGAAGTCGACTCTCATCCAGACCATCAAAGATGAACAGAACCTGGAACTGATCAAAATGCTGGATTTGGGCTTCTTTGGTTTCAGTGAAGAAGCGATGAACAAGTTCCACCAAGCTGAACTTTTTCTCTTTCAGCACATTCAGCTCTCTGAAGGTGAATGGAAATATGAACTGGATGTTCTGGTGGGCTTTGCCTTCAGCCCAGTCCAGAGTGAACTTCTGGGTTAAGACTGTTTTCCCAATGCCAGCCACTCCGTTGGTCATCACTGCTCTGATTGGTTGATCTCTTCCTGATGGCGGCTTTAGAATGTCTTCTTGTCTGATTGTTGTTTCTGGTCTGTTTGGTTTCCTGGATGCTGTTTCAATCTGTCTGACCTCATGTTTACTGCCGACCACTCCAGTCCCCCCCTCTGTGATGTAGAGCTCTGTGTAGATCTGGTTCAGAAGGCTTGGACTCCCTGCTTTAGCGATTCCCTCAAATATGTGCTGAAATTTTTTCTTAACATTTGTCTTTAGATTACTCTGGCAATTGACAGGAGAACCTACAATGAAAAATAAGAGCAGTTAGTTCTTCTCTAGTTAGAAGAAGATTACCTGCTATGGCTAAAAACATTACATTGAACTTTCTGGTTCCAAGGTTTACTTCTTAACTTGAAGTTTAATTAACGGGTGTATTTCCTGTGACTTTCAACCATTCTGTGGGGGGATGGGGGGTTGGGTGTTCAGGACACCACAGTGACAGAGAAACAGTCCCTCCAGCGTGTCCTGGGTCTCCCTCTGGTCCTCCTCATGGTAGGACGTGCCAGAACACCTCACCAGGGAGGCGTCCAGGAGGCATCCTAACCAGATGCCGGAGGAACCTCAACTGGCTCCTCCTGGAGGAGCAGCGGCTCTACTCCTAGTCCTCCCTGGATGACTGAGCTCTGCATCCTTTCTCTAAGGGAGAGCCCAGACACACTACGGAGAAAACTCATTTCTCATTCTATCGGTCATGACCCAAAACTCTTGACCATAGATGAGGCCAGAAACGTAGATCAAGAGCTTTGCGTTTTGGCTCAGTTCTCTCCTCACTACAACAGCCCGGTACAGCGCACGCTTCACAGTAGATGCCGCAAAAATCCGCCTGTCAATCTCCCGCTCCATCTTCCCCTTTTTTGGGAACAATACCCCAAGATACTTAAATTCCTCCACTAGGGGCAGTACATCCTCCCCAACCCGGAGAATGTACTTTACCCTGTTCCCTTTTCCAGACCAGGGTCTCTGATTTGGAGGCAGATCCTCATCCCGGTCGCTTCACACTCGGCTGTGAACTGCTCCAGTGAAAGCCGGAGATCACTTCTTGATGAAGCCAATAGAACCACATCTTCTGCAAATAGCAGAAACGCCATCCTAAAGCCACCAAAATGGATTCCCTCAACACCTTGGCTGCGCCTAGAAATCAGTGATAAAAGGCAACCTTGGTGGAGTCCAACTCTCACTGGAAACAAGTCCAACTTACTGCCGGCAATGCAGACCAGGCTCTGACACCGGTCATACAGAGACCCAACAGTCCTTATTAAAAGGACCGGTACTCCATACTCCCAGAGTATCCAGATCCCCGGAAAAGACCTTACCAAGGAGGCTAGAGTGTGATTCCTCTGTAGTTGGAACACAACCTTTGGTCCCCCTTTTTAAAAAGGAGGACCACCAACCCAGTCTGCCAATCCAAGGGAACTTCCACCAATGTCCACACAATGTTGCACAGTCACGTTAACCAACACAGCCCCAAAACATCCAGAGCCTTAAGGTTCTCTCCCGGGGACTTGCCGCCTAGGGCTTTTTAACCGCCACGGTGACCTCAGCAACAGGGATGGGAGAACCTGACCCGGAGCCCCCAGGCTCTGCTTCCTCAATGGAAGACGTGTTGATGGAATTAATGATGTCTTTGAGGTACCGACATACAACGTCCCGAGTCGAGGTCAGCAGAACTCTGCCTCCACTATTAACAGTGTTGGTACTGCACTGCTTCCCCCTCCTGAGATGCTGGATTGTGGACCAAATTTGCTTAAAAGCCGTATGGAAGTCTTTCTCTATGGCCTCTCAGAACTCTTCCCATGACTGAGTTTTTGCCTAAGCCACCAGTTGAGCCACCTGCCGCTTTGACTGCTGGTACATATCAGCTGCTTCTGGAGTCCCACAGGCAAATAAAGCCCGATAGGACTCCTTCTTAAGCTTGACAGCTTCCCTCAGCGCTGGTGTCCGCCAGCGTTTTAGAGTGTTGCTCTTGTGACATGCATCGACAACCTTGTGGCCGCAGCTCCGACTAGCTGCCTCAACAATAGAGGCACGGAACATGGTCCCCCACTCAATGTCCCCCACCTCCCTCAGGAACGTGTTAGAAACTGTCGACAGATGACGACAGAGGCCATATTTCCGTACACTGAAAATAACCTTCCTCTTCAGTCGTGTTGTTGGGTTCTTATGTACTGTGATCTGCAGCCTCTTTAACTCCATTTAACCCCTGAGGTTTCCGGGTCGCACCAAGTTAGCAGAGTTATTTGCCTGTTCGGAAAGAACACCCATCAGTTGCTCCTTTTTTCGAGGCCATTTAACGCATTATTCTATTCACTTACCCTCTCCTCTCATAACACGCAGAGAAAGAAGATCTTTGTTGGATAAAAACAAAATCAGTGCAGAGTTTAAAGACTTTGGGTCACCATTTCTTTTAGAGTTCATTGCTAAAATATGTAATAGGCGTGGTTTCCTGCTCCAGCACAGTTGAGTTTAATTAAAAGCTGCCAGTTGTGCTAAAGTAGGGAAACCTCTAAAACCTGCAGGACGGCGGCATCCGAGGACCGACTTCAGGGATGCCTTTAATAGACTGTATTGGGTGGCTTACTGTTGTGCAGGCGATCAGCCAGATTCTCCTGCTTCATGTTCCTCAGAAAGTTGACAGCGATGTTTAGAAATTGCTCTCTGCTGCTCCTCCTCTGCTCCTCATCGTCACCCTTCCACTGACTCGCTAAGCCTTCAGGGTTATCTGGACTCAGGGACTTTTTAAACTTATTCAGTTCATCCTTAACGAAACCAATCACGTTTTCTTCAAGCTCCTGAAAAGACAAACCAAACAAAGGAAGACTGAGATTCTGGAGCCCAATATCAGATCCATGTTGGACGGATCCACGGTCCTCTGGTCTGCAGGAACAGCTGTAGTTGTTTAGGTACAGACCATGAATATGGAGTCCAGCTGGGTTTGGTGCGGCTGGGCAGACGAAACACTGGGAACCTCTGGGTCCGCTCTGTGGAGGAACCAGGATGAATTAGCTGGTGTTCCAAGGTTTCAGAAAGTTCTGCTTGGTGGTCAGTCAACATTTCCTTTAGTCATGGATCTAGAGGTGTTTGCAGATCCCTGCAGTCCCTGTTTAAGCTGAATTTTGGCCTGGATGGACTGAAAGGTCCTCATAATATCCAAGACTTTTCATTTCTACCGATTTGTTAGAGACAATTAGAGATTACAGATAAAATACTTCCTACTTTCTCTCTCAGCTAAGTGTGAAACAGCTGCTTAATTAGGGAAAACTATGTGAGGTCATGCATGTTTAAGTCAATAATAAAATCATAATTATCTAATTTAGCTAAAACTAGAAAACTGACTGAAAAAAAACACAATTTCACACTTTATGAGCCTCTTTTAAAACAAAAATGTATTGAAAAGAAAAAAAAATCATTCAAAAAAAATTTAAAGCTGCTTTTAAGTGGATTTTATATGTATGAAACAGTTAAAACTCATGATTCTGCTTTTCTCGACCTTTTGGTTCCCAGTTCTGTTTTATTTCATGTTATTCTGTTTGTTAAGATTTATATCATTTTTGAGTTCTTAGTTTTAATCTATTGTTCTTTCAGCAATCCCTCTAATCTCTTTTCTGCATTTTATTTTCTAGTTTTAGTTGAAGTCATTCATTTTATTTCTTTTAGCTTTATTTCAGTTAGATCTTCTTTTCCCTTGTTACTCTCTGCTGCCCTCTAGTGTCCCTTTTTTCCCCCTTGGCTCCTTTTTAGTTGCTCCTGTCCACAGCTAGCCTGGTAAACTAGCCCCACCCACCAGCGGCCAAAATCATTTTTGCCTTCGAGGTTGGTCTAGCCTCCATCAATGCCCCAGAACTGGCAGACCAATCAGAACTCAGATGCGTTTTGAATTTCTGGATGCAAAGTGGGCGGGGTTTTGACGGCGTGACGACATGGCTGCACAACAGTAGCATTCACTGCAGCAGTAGCTTTCTATGGAGGGCTCTATTGAAAGTTAAAAGTTCTCTTTTCTGTTGCCATTGTTCAACAAAAGTATGTTTTAAGATCATTTGAGGAAACAATATTATACTTTAAAGCGTCACTATATGGTCCATGTACCAGTGGTGTCAAAAGTTCACATGTTTGTTACTTCAGTAGAAGTATAGATACTGCTGTTTAAAAACACTTCAAAAAGTATATCATCATATATTTCGAAATATTTCAAATTAAAACATTTTTATTTATTTTTTATGTCTTAATCAGGGTGGGCGGGGCGGCACCCTATTGGTCAGCCACCACTGGTTAGAGCAGTGATGGTTAATGAGGCATCATGAAGCTGGTTGATTCTGTCTCAGAATACTGACACCTGCTGGACATTTAAAGACACTACAGGCAGCTGATTGGACAGACTGAACTGAATTGATTTGATGACCTACTACAACTATACCATTTCAGTTATTATAGGTTATATTCTATTATTTCATATCTATTTTCAAACTGAAAATATCTGATATTTTTAGATGCAGCCGATAAATAATGTAAACATATTTTTAGGGGAAAATGTGATTCAGGATCCTTGTGGACTAGGATTTAAAAAAAAAATTTTTTTAAACGATAAGTACAGTAAAAACCTTAAAGAAATTAACTTTAATTCAGAGAAGTTGAGTGATGAAATTAAAATAAAAACAGAACAGCTGTATCGTTTCTTTTAGGCTCCAAAATTCTGGATCATTTTACTGAAAAACTGCAAAAGATGAGACATTTTTATTTTTTTTTTATTTTTTAGCAGATGCATCATGTTGACAGATACGATTTTAAACCCAGTTTAGTGAGTCAGTCAGTTAGAAACCGCTCCTGGATCGGTCACAGTGTTTGGTTCTATGGGCTCCATGCATCACTATTAATGGACCCATCCTTAGGGTAGAGTTTTATGAATGGTATTTTATTCCATCACAGTCCAAGCTGACCAGTAGAAAAACGTTTCCTCAGACAGACCATCAGAAATCTTCCCTTCAGAGGAAACTGACATGTAAAGAACATTAATCAGTAATAAGAGATTTAAAAAGAATGACCTCTAAACAAAAAATCCACGTCAACTCGTATCGTTCCTCACTTTGTCTTCCATCAGGGAAAGGAAGGAAAAACTCTTAAACCTTATGTGGCATCAGACGGCTCCGCTTCTCAGGAAACAGGAAAAGCTCAACCTAATATTCTTTTTATACTTTTTTTTTTTAAATAGCAGTTTATAGAACTATGGGTTGAACTTTTGCATTCAGATTTTAAATAAAAAAATTTGTTTTTTATTTTATTTGTGTTTTTCTTTCAAACGACGAATCTCTCGGTACTTTGCATCTACTGAGGACAAACGTTGATGCAGCTGCTTTAAAGTCTGCAGATTCATTTAAAGCTTCTTTAACGGCTGATAAACAACTTTTTTTTTAAAAGTGGGAACCAGTTTTTATTCTAAAGCTGTAGAAATATTCATTTTTATTTCCCCTAAAACTACCAAATGAATCTAAGCGATGAAATAAAAACGATCTGAAACCGTTTTTCCTTCTATCGGGTTTTAAATTTTAATTTGTTCTTGTGCACTTTATTTGCTGCAAACTTAGAGAAAGAGATCCACCTATACAGGAACATAGAGTTGTGACGCATAGATTCTGACCATCCAATCTTCAGGATGTTCAAAGCTTTTCTTGTTGTTTCATGTTGGACCGTTTATGGATAGAAAGCGTTTGGAAGGAGCTCACCTCTTTGCAGAACTGCCATCTGCTTGGAAATTAATCAGTCGAGGATTTGACTTGTCGCTGCGACAGGAGACGCCGATGGGTCCAGCTTCTGTTTTCTCCCTGTCAAACAAGAAGCAGGTTTGATGACGTCTGCTGATGGCAGCAGGAAGATCTGGACTCGGTTCTTCCAACCTTCATCCTAGAGAGACGGATTTTCTCAATAGAACTTCATTTAAAAGTAGTTTAAGACTTAATCCAGACTTTGACTAGGCCAATCAAAACCTTCAGTTTGCCAACTGCTGTGTTCTTCAGATGAAGGAGAAACTGATTTCTGGATCTTCTACTCAGCTTAAAGGTGAACTAGAAAACAAATACTTATAGTTTCACCTTTGCTGGCATATATGAAATGAAATACATCATAAGTGAAAAAGTTCCAGCATTTTATTGTTTATAGTGTAAAATAAATCGCTAAGATAGCAGGCGACAGCGATTCCTCATTCGGTCACGTGACGCACTAGGACGCCGTGACGTCAGTTTAATCAGGAAGTCCTTTTTCATAGCGAGTCAATATTTATTCATCTTACTGATGGAGTTTTTATCCTTTAACGAGGACAAATATGAAGCAGTCAGAGTCTGAGTGGTTTTATTAATTCTCGCTGTTTTAGTCATCGCTGATAAATGTTCTTTGATAAACATGTTCACAACAAGTTCATCTTTCAAAACATTTTACAGATGGAAAAAAAATGAATTCTGATGGGTTCTGTGGTGGCTGGGTTCGGTCCAGTTGGGAGCAAGCTGCTCCGGCTGGGTGTGAAGGCTGGTCTATGGCAAGCCGTTTTGACATTTAGTAGAAGCGCTGTCCTGTTTATCTTTAAAATAAGATTCTTCTTCGTCAAAACTACGTTCCTACTAGCCAGAAATGTACATATAGATATCCTAGATGACATTTTTACAAAAAATTAATTTCAGGAACCCAAAAATATAATTGTACTAGTAAGAAATACCTAGAACATGTTTATATGCTTGACTGAATATATATTTCAGATGTCTCAAATGCATTTCTTCCTCATCATAATGAACATTTCAAGTATATTAAATAACTTTCTTCCTTTTAGTGTTTCTACAATCGGATTACGAGGATCTTAGAAATCCAGAATGATTATTTTAGATCGGAGTAACGTCATTCTGATATCTGAAAGTACTGAAATATTCTATTTAGATCGGAGGAATACTTTTAAAGATATCTAAAAAGCGGCCACCTAAAATAAGTCAAGATTTGTAGAAATGTGAAACGCAGTTCTTACTAGTACTAATTTAATTACTAGTACTATAAATTGCAATCAGTGATATCTAAAAGCAGTATTATAATTGTGACTAGGTGGGCTATCTATGATAGAAATGTGACTCGTCTACCTGCCTGTTTTAAGTTAAAATGACGCCTCATTACTTTTTTGAATGTTAGTCAAAATATGTTTCTAAGTTTCTAAAACTGCATTTTGGATAGATATAAAAATTTAGATATCTGAAATTCCAACTTAACTATTCAGATTTCAATAATTATATTTCTACTAATAGAAATATATTCTATATGAAAGAATTGGATTTCTGTTTATCTAGATTATCTTCATTTCTGATATCTGAAATATTAATTATGACCAGTGGTAGTAGCTCTATTATAGAAATCTGAAATTAGAGTTCATCCTCGTCAGAATTCAGTTTAGAAAGGATTATTCTAGAGATCTGAAATGTTAATTTTGACTAAGAAGAAATGCATTTAAGACGTCTGAAATATATATTCAGTCAAGCTAATAAATATCAAAAGGGCCACTTAAAAGTTTTAAAGATTTCTAGATATTTGAAAGTTTATTCTGACAAGTAGAATATTATTATTGGCAGCCAGAAATTTTATTTTTGCTGATAAAAATGTAATTTAGGTTTAGAATATCTACATGTGCATTTCTGGCTGGTAGGAGTGAAGTATTGACTAGGAAGAATTTTATCTTAGAGATAAATGGAACAATAAAGAGGACGGTGCTTCTAATAAATGATAAAACGGCCTGCCATAGCTCCTGCAGTGGGTCCCTGCCTGCAGAAACTGACTGTCATCCATCGCGGTTCCTGTTGTTCTGGAGCTCGGACCATAAAAATATGGAAATCCATCTGGAGCTGCAGCTGTTATCGGTTCATTTTTGTCTAATTATTTACTTTCCGGATCGAAATCTGATGCAAAACCGGTTATTTTGGATAATAAAACTTTCCTTTTCCTGATCCAAAGCCATTCCTACAGCAGACCAGTGCAACGACGTTTAAACAATCCTTTTAGAGCTCTGTGTCGTTTGACCACAGTGACGTCACAGCTGGGTTTGGTCATGTGACACGCTGGAAAAATCTCCTATTTTATTACTTGGAGCATTTTTAGCGCGATTTAGAGAAGCCAAATAGAGAAAAGAAAGGATCATCTACCATCATAAACCATAAAACCGCTCTAGACTTCTTTCTGTTTGAAATAATAACTCCAAATAAAACCTGAAACAGATTACAGGACATTTCTGTATAAATATCCTTTATTGATTCACTGTTGGAGGAAATCATTTTACGAACCTGAACATTTAGAGAGAGCTCACCTCTTAGCAGGAGGCCCGCCTCCCTTAAAGTCGATCAAATAGGAATTTGACCTGTTGCTCTTTAAGGAGGCAAATTAGGGACCACTTTCATCCTCAGGTTCAGGTTCAGGTTCTGGTTCTGGTTCTGGTCCAGGTCCAGGTCCAGGTTCTGGTTCTGGTCGTTTCCTGTGGATAAAGATGCTTTTATGATGTCCATGCTGATCTCTGACACAGAGGAGATTCCTGGACAGTTAGAGGTGATGATCTGACCTTTGACCTTTGCTCTGCTCCTCAGGCTCTCCACACGGAGCGGAGTCGGAGGGAGCGGCTCGCTCCTCCCCGTCGTCACGCCGATCCATGATGCTCACGCACCTCCTGCCTTCATCTGAGGAGGAAACATCCTTCAGCTAAACTCTGAGCAGCGGATCACATGTTGTAGAATCTGCCAGCTCCTCTCTGATTGGCTGCCCTGAACTCTGCAAAAACTATCTAGAAATAAATAAATTAAATATCTCAAAGTGTATTTACCCTTGCTTTGAGTGGATAAAATGATTCGCCAATGGAATGAGCATTTTTACTCTAACTTCAAATTTAAATGATCTTGTTCTGTTGGCAAAGTGTCTCCCTTACCCGCTCAATTCAAGACAAAATGAACTTATTTGAAGAAATAATGACTTATTTATTTTTAAAAAACTAAATATTTATTTTGGAGTTAAATATTTATTCAAAAAAGTATTTAGTTTAAAGCCAAGAGTATCTAAAATCTACACTGAGGTGAGCATAAAATGCAACAGCAGCAAACTGTGACACCCAGGAAATGACAGTAAAGTGTCTGCTGATAACAATAAAGCCAGAAGGTAAAATGAAAACATAAGCGGCTCCTTTCAGACACTGCAGAGCAAATCCTTCCTGCCAGCGGCTCTAATATCCAGGATCTAAACGCTGCAGCATCCTGAGCAGCGCAGCTCATCCACAGATCTGACCTGCCTCTCCTACAGGCCACACCTGCTGCCTATCTACACTAATGAGCCTAACAAGCTGTCAAACAGGAGTGAAGGGGGGGGGGGGGACAGGGCAGTGATGCATTCATGGGCCCAAAACGGGTGGGAATTTCCAGCTATGTTATGTAAACACTGTTTTCAGCTAATAAACCAGCAGGTTACATTCATGTAATCTGAAAATAAATTCACTAGTTCTTCACGTGCTGTAAAAACTTATAAAAATGATGTTATTCATGTTGAACTAAAAATAAATAAATCTGCTATCCTGTCACTGAGTTGTAGAATCATCTCCCTATAAATATTTAATTCCGATAATTATTTAATAAGATCCTAATCTAAAGGGCGTGCGATGTTTTTATAGACTAATGTGAATTTTTTATTGTTTTATGCAAAAAACTACGATAAAAACGGACTAAAATGGAAAATAAAACAGCATAATTGGCTGTAAGGAGACTATAGAACTCCCTGCTTAACCTCACAGCAGATCCGGGCTTTGACTAGGACACAACATTTCATTCTGGTCATGGTGAAAGGTTCAGTCCTGCTTCTACCTCCAGTTTGGTCCCAGATTTCCCCAAAAAACCCAAACCCAGCTGCGGACCCAGCTGCGGATCCAGCTGCTAATCCAGCTGCTGATCCAGCTGCTTCTTCAGCGTTTTTAGAGAAGCTCTACAGAAACAAGCAGTTCTTCTGCATCTGCTGACCATCATCTCTCTGATGGAGACATTCTGCTCAGACTAACAAACATGGAGGATGAGAATAACGGTCCTGCTCATTTCCGCCCCTCAACCTTAAAGAGGAGTTAGAGCTGCAGATAAATCTGCTCCTCCTGCAGGAGATCAAGTTCTACCTGCTGCTAGAAACTATTTAAACCTTAAAAACTGGTTACTTTACCTTCAGACGGAGATTTGATCGCAGAAAACAAAGTGCGCAACAGCGAGTTGGGAAAGCGAAAGTAAACTATGGAAGCCCATTTCCGCCAAATGAAAAGAAAAAAATGGCAGATAGAAAGTTATGATTATGAGTTTCAAAGTGATGCAGGTAAGCAGTGTTTTAATATTGTTGTACTTTTTTGAATGTTTTGAGTCTTTTAAGGAGCATTTAGTAATTTTGTATTTTTGTTTTGACAGGGTTGTAACTGCTTCCTGCTGTCCTTTAAAGTTTGATTTTTCCTTTTGGTTATTTTTGTTAGTCCGCTCAGGTTGAATTGTTTCTTTTGAGTACCTGTGAGGGCGGACTAACAACTTTCCATTTATTTTGTTAGTTTCTTTTCACTTCCTGTATGTTAATATTTCTATTAAAGTTTAGATAGTTGTATTTTATTTATATACAATAAAGATTGGAAAAATTAACTCTGCTTCAGTTTTCTTTCCCTTTTGAACACGACAACCATAAGTCTGTGTCATGTAGGATTAAATTTGTATTAACAGGGAAAACACCAATCGGACCTGTAACACATAAATCTGACTTTCAAAGTCGTAATTATATAGAAGCCAATTTCCACCAATTGAAAAGAAAAAAATGGCACATAGAAAGTTATAATTATGAGATCCAAAGTCATAACTCCGACTTTCAGTCAGTATTTCCAAAGCGCGGGGGTATTCTGTCAGACCAGCATACCCCGTCAGACCAGCATACCCCGTCAGACCAGCATACCCACAGTAATACGCCTAATAGGGGTGTAAATCACATCCATCATGGCGATTCGATTCAGTATCGATTTCCTGACCCAACGATTCGATTATTTTCGATACTTAAGAATACACCACGATTCGATTCGATTAATCGGTTAATTTTTTTTTTATTATTATTATTATTTTTTTTTTACACCTTACAGGCTAAACAAAGTTTCAAGTTTGAAATAAATCAATGAAAGCTGTAATATCGTTATGCATTTTCTTTAGAAACAACAGCAAATAACAGAAGTAGAAAAGTTGCATCAAAAAATACTGTAAAAATACTGCACAATATCAGTGCAATGAGTTCAATGCAATACCTCGGCTCCAGAGAAACTGTCCAACATATTTTTTTAGAATTTAATAAATATACTCAGGAAAGAGAGATGTTGTGTAGAGAGTTAGACAGGAATAAAAATAAACTAGATATAAGGGAAGTGTTTCAAAGGTCATCTGGGGATGTAGTTTTTGGGGGTATTTTTAATTTTCTAAGAAGAACGGGTATTTTAGGGAGAATATAATAGTTTGTCTGGTCCATACTCCATTCTGGAAGGTGGCGGTAATGCAGCTATAAGTTGTTTGCCAACCGCCATTAAAAAAAAGAAGAAGAAGAAGGCTCCAGAGTGTTGACGTCACCGCCCCCTTGAGAGACGCTCCGCTGCACCTCTCCCAGATTGTAGCTGACCGCAAACAGTGCACCAGACAGGAGGGCGGCTTGTTTTGTTTTTATGACCGAAATTGCGTAAAACAACTCGTGAAGTTTGACCCGCTAGAAGAGCGAGGTGCGCGAGAACGCTGGGAGCCTTTTTCCAGCTGAATCTCCGCTCTTTTTGCCCCATTGTCCCTCCGTCGTCGGACTAAACTCGCCCCCACTTCCTCGCCGCCTCAGCCGTATCTAGACCCACAGCGTGTAGCTCAGACCACGCTGCAATATTGAGCATAATTTAAAAATGTCTGTGTGAAGCTTGCTGCAACAAACTGCTGTAAGAGTATAACCAGGAAGCGCGGTAGGAGGGCATAATAGGTTTAGCGCCACCGCAGGGAGGGAGGAGAGTTACGCCCAGGAGAAAATGGATAAAAATAGACCGGAGGGAAAAAAAAAAAAAACATTAATCGATTATCTTGCGGACGTGTCGATGCATCGATACAAAACGATTATTATTTACACCCCTAACGCCTAACAGTGTCGTCCGTCTCCGCTCTCCTTTTAGCCAATTATGCTGTTTTATTTCCCTATTTAGTCAGATTGTTGTCGTAGTTTTGTGCATAAAACAATAAAAAAGATCCACCAAACAATGTAGTCTAAAAAAACCAAAACATTGCACATTTGACGAGGATCGACACGCATGCGTAAGACGTCAGCTTTGCATATTACTCCCGTTTATTCCCGTTTTGACCAGAAAATACACTTTGAACACTTTGAACTACCTCGACGCCAAATGAAGAGAAGTAACAGATTCAAATGCTGTGATCTTAATGGTTTTTCTTTATTGATGGTTAATTTAATCCCACATGAATTATGCTTTGATGCTTTCCTACCACTAGAGGGAGGCAGAGATCAGCATAAACCGTTACTGTTATGGATTTATGTATAACTGTCATTCATTATAGATGTAAAATCATGAAAACATTACAAATATTTGAAGAGGAGTCTGTACCTGGCTGTCAGCCTCATCGTATAATAACGTCTTTTTTAAGTCATTTATCAACATTATTAACTTATATTAACTTTAGTATTTGAGTTCAAATGTAACTTAAACATATTGAGTAACGCGTATTTAAAAGTATATGTAGGGGAAAGCAGACAAAAAATGTGGATGCTCTAAGCAAACCGAGTGATTTACGTTATCGAACGCTGCACTGAATCCAACACCTTCTCTTAAAGGTACAGTGGAGGATCTTGTTTTCGGGGTGGATCATCAAAACAAGTGGTCCTCCTAACTGTCAATCATTCTGATTATATATTTACAGAGTTGAGTCTGACATAGAGGAGAAATTGCAAATCTCTTGGAAAGTTAGCTTGTATGAGTGAAGCAATGAGCAACTTTAAAACAGCATGCACGAGGAGAAATGGGCTCATGCACTCTCTCACATGCATTTAATAAGCATTCCCTTTATTTTTTGGTCAATTATAGACCTATATCTAATCTTACTTTGTGATCTAAAATTCTTGTGTGTTAAAAAGTGTGTGATCCCTTACACCATAATGACATTTTTGAAGACCTTACCAACCTTAAACAGGGGGGGGGGACTCAGATTTCAGCTTTAATAAACCTCCAATGCAGCGATAGAGTTGATTCCTTCCCGCTATCATCGCAGCTCCAACCCCTTTACAGGAGAACAGAAGACCTCACCTGTTCAGCCAGTCCAACAATTCCCTCTAATGACCCCCCTTTCAGAGACATAGACAGGTATGGGGCATTGCAGGCTAACAAAGAAGCCAAACGACCCCCATTCCAAAGGGGGGGACCCGTTTGTATGTTTTCTAAACAAAAAAACAGGCTTTATTGGGCTGCTGGATAAAGCCTGGAACTCAACCCTATTTTTGATCAGATCAGACAGGAACAGTTCCACGATCTAGGGGTCCGTAGTTCGACCAGGGGTTCCGATCCGCAGAGGAACAGTCAGATCCTGGGTTCCAGGAATCCTCAGAGCATTTAGGCAGGCCCAGAGTCAGACGGGGTCCAGATGTGTGCCCAAACAGACACGCACAGATGCAGACAGGCAGGCTCAGATTCAGATGGACAGGCTCAGTGGTTTAGGGGACAGAGACAAGACATGGTACCAGGATTTCTGCAGGAAACTTTAAACTGGTCTCCTTCTAGTAGCTTACTGGAATATAAGTGACCCTCTCTGCGAACCAAGCCCAAATGCTGAGGGCTCAACCGAGAATGACATGGACACAATCGGAAGACAAGACAGACAAAACCCTCTCACTCCACTGGCCCCCAAGAACAAGGACTTGAACCATGGACTAAACTAAACCTAACTAAACAGACCACAAAACACAAAACAATGATCTGGCCCCGATAGCTTGTATCAGTTTTAGGTATAAATAATGATCCATTGATTGTTCCTAGCTGATCGGACGTCGACCTCCTGGTAGATTGAACCGATGTTCTAGTGATTCTTTGTGGACTCTGTGGAGTCTTTTCACTATATAAGGGTCACCATCAAGAAAAATCAACTGTTGCATTTTTACACCAATTTAACAGTTTATTTCCATTATGGCATCAAATCTGTGGACATTTGTAAAACAAGTTTTAAAGTTTAGAAGTAGTGTATATGAAAACTCTCAAGTTTAGCTTTGATCTCTGAATAACTGATGTATCAAAAACAGTAGCAAACCAGTTTTAGTCCGTGAGGCAGACACCCTGTCTACTTTTAAGGCTAGGCTTAAAACGTTCCTTTTTGATAAAGCTTCTAGTTAGAGTGGCTCAGGTTATCCTGAGCTATCTCTATAGTTCTGCTGCTATAGGCTTAGACTGCTGGAGGACATAGGGACCCCTTTTTTCCTTTTTCTATGTCTGCTTCTGTCTCCTTGAACCCCAGTGGGCCTCAGCAGATGGCCGCTCACACTGAGCCTGGTTCTGCTGGAGGTTTCTTCCTGTTCAAAGGGAGTTTTTCCTCTCCACTGTCGCTACAAGCATGCTTAGTGTGAGGGATTGCTGAAGAGTCAATGAGTCGATGCAATCAGCTGGTTTTCCTTAGATAGAAAACTTTGAATCAATCTGACTGGATGATCTGGTGAACTGGAAAGTGACCTGAGATGACATGATGTGAATTGGAGCTATGGAAATAAACTGAATAGAATTAAAATTATTATTTTTATTTTTTTATTTTGATGAATCAGGACCAACAGCCCAGACTGAAGACGACCAGAATCAGGATGAAAGACAAAGACGTTGTTTCTTTTGCTTGCAAATAACTCTTTGTTTTCATATGTAATAAATACAGTTATTTACATGAAACAATAAATATCAAAACATCTTCATCGCTTTGCCTTCATGTCAGGGAAAATCACGTCACATCCAGAAGTTTCTCAGCTTTTTATTGGTCGCTGCTGAACACCTGCTCCTCCTCTCACACGAACACCTGCTCCTCCTTGTTGATGATGTTCTTCAGGAGCGTCACCAGCGGCTTCTGGCGCCCCTCCTCCCAGCTCTTCATGAACCCTCCGTAGCGTTTCCCGGCCGGCGGGCCCCCCCAGCGGAAATGCTTCATCTTGTATGAACCGTCCTTCTTCTCCTGCAGGCCCCCCAGGAGCCGGTGGTGCTCCTCCGATGCCTCCTCCATCACCTCCTGCTCCTCGGCTGCTGCCAGCAGCTCATTGGCCAGCTCCCTCCTCCTCATCTCTCCGGGGAACACCTCGGTGGACTCCCCCTGGACGCCGTTGGAGGTGTAGACCTTGACCGGGCGGCGCTTCCGGCCCACGGGCTTCCCCCAGCGGAAATGCTCCATGGAGTAGGAGCGCTTGGCCTGGGGGGAGGAGGAGGGGAAGGGGGAGAGCTCTGAGGGGGGAGGCGGGGGAGGCAGGAGGTGGGCTTCCCCCGGGATGAGGGGGGTCTCAGCGGTGAGGTCAGAGTGACAGGCGTGGATGCACTCCTGAAAGATTAGATCAACTGGATTAATGTTTATTTCACCTTTAATCTGATTAAATTAATTAATATCAGAGATTAAGGTTGTAATCTAAGATGGCCGCTCCTTTACCATCATGCCGCTCTCAGAGTTCAGGTCCTGGCAGCTCGGATGCTCCCAGCATTGGCTAACAGCTCCTGTGGCCCCGCCCACAATCACCACAGCCACCAATAGCCACACAGGACACATGATCCTGTCAACCAATCAGAAACGAGGACAAAAAAACTCACATTAAACCTTTTTCTGGACTTTTCTTTAGACGCAAAGTAAATCCAATTATCAACATAAATAATCTGGTCTAATCTGGTTCTAATCTGTTATTAATCTGCAGCCATGAATCGAATAAATCAAACTTTGAAGCTTATTTACAGTTATAGTAAAAAGTTTAACTGAATTGGATCAAATCTCTCCTGATTGGAGTAAATAGGAACCTTTTCTAAAGTGGCCTAGTTAAAGTCCAGATTTGAAAAGGAAGCTAAAGATTAGGATTACGGTTCAGAACACTGCAGAAATCAGCAGAGCTGATATAAAAACATAGAAATAATTATCAGTTGAATCAGAAATGTTCTGCTGCTCTAATAGATGCAGGAATAAAAGCTCCTGTGATTCTCACCAGCGTTTGTTTCTTCTCCTCTTATTGCTGCTGCTGTTCTTCTGGTTCTGGATGAAGACGTCTTGGTCGCTCTTCGTCTCTTCTGCGGCTTCCAGCAGCTCCTGGACTTTTATACGTTGCCATCAAGGACACACACAGAGCGGGCATAACGTCAGCGCCGCAATTCATTCATGTTGGTCAAACACACCCAGCTGCTCCGATCAATGGACATCTTCCTCCCTCCTCTTCCTCCGACCACAGAGGAAAAACAACGTTCAGCCTCAGTCTGCAGTCGCATCACTCGACCTTTTTAATTGTTTTTTATTATTTCAGATGAATGCCTCTCCATCCTCGGGGCTTAGCAGGAGGAGCAGCGTCTTAATCTCTGCTCAGGTTCCAGGTCTGGCAGATTAACGCCCAGGTGACATGCGGTCACAGACGGGGTCCGAAGCGGCGGTTCTGGGTGTTGGGTTGCCGAGCCCAGCAGCTGCTGCAGACTCCTTCTATTGTCACCAAAGCCGGTTCTGCTCAGGTTGATCCCCGTGGAGAATGAGACTCATTTTCCAGGTTTAAGGTCATCAGGTTCTCCATGATGGCAGCAGCGGTTTGATGCACGGCTTCTAGAAGCTCGGTTCTAACAGAGGAGGAAAAAAATTTTAAAAGTTCAATATTTTTATTTCATTTGAGTTGTATATGGGAAAAAGTCATAATCCTGACTACACTGGGAAAAAAAATCTAAATCTAAAAAAGTTGTTTTTTTTACTTAAAATAGTGCATCTGTTCTTGAATTGAGGAGACATTTTACATTTAAAATAAAAAAACACAGTTGGATCGTCTTATTTCAAGTGCATTTTATCTAATTATATTATTTTAAGAGAAAAATAAACATTCCATTGGGAAACTATCCCATTTGCCATACCTTACAACGTCCCAACACACACTCCCCCCAGGGGAACCAACACACCCCCTGCATAGAGAACTTTCTCACACTTTAACATTTGGAGGAAAATCAACTTGAGTTCATGAAGGCCGTTCCCTGTTAGGTTATTATATCTCTCACTGGTCAGATGGATCTCCTCCAAACAGCATTCCTCGCAGCTCCAACTCTTTTACAGGAGAACAGAAGACCTCCCCTATTCAGCCAGGTCTGGATAAAACCTGGAACTAAACGCTATTTCTAACATTTTGAATTGAAAAATCTTCCTGGATGGAAGAGAAACGTCTTCAAACTTGGAAACAAAGTTCAGCGGATTGTTTTTAACTGTTTTGGAATGACTATGACCTGGAAAGAGTAAATAGGATATTCATTGGATTGTCTTCATCCTGAGACATTTTCTGATTGCCTGGTTTGACCAGAACCTTAAACTTTTGTTCAATTTGGGGTGTTTTTACTCTTAATCCAACTTAGATCGTTCTTCAAAGTGTTTTCGTTCATTGTGATATTATTCAATATCCAAAATGAACCATAATCATCTAAATCAGTGGGATAAAGCAGACATACGTCCATGTTTGATCCATCAGTGATTAAACGCTGCAGGATTTCATTGATGAATCTAATTTTTCATTCAAAGCTCAGAAACTTCAGTTACTGAATGAAACATTGTGTAGAAAAAGATCCTCTTACTTTAATCCAGTTTATCGAGATTACAGCCGGCTGTAGATTCAGGTCATTGATGGTTTCATGATTTTAGCACCTCCATCCAAGCATGTGGCGATGGTGGAAGGAATAACACCTTTAGAATCCAGGTGGGTGTGACCTGCTGCCTCTGATAAACAGGAAGAACTTCCTTTTATGGGACAGAAAACATAGAAGAGACCAGTAGCTCCTCCCAGTACGGAGACGCAGTCAAACCCAGAAGCACCAGTAGAGGCTGTGGTTAACTATTTAACTGCAACACATGACAAACAGGTCCAGTATCTCTGGGAACTTCCTCCTAATCCCATCAGTTCTGCCCCCTGGTGGTGGGTCTAGGCATTTAAGCCTCCAATAAACAACAGGATCATCGCTGGTTTTAATCTGGACCAAATTACATCCAGGTCTGCTTTTTCTTCCTTCTGAAGGATCGATGGATCGATCCATCGATCCATCGATCCATCCATCCATCCATCCATCCATCCATCCATCCATCCATCCATCCATCCATCCATCCATCCATCCATCCATCCATCCATCCATCCATCTTCTTCCACTTATCTGGGGCCGGGTCTCGGAGGCAGCAGTCTAAGCAAAGATGCCCAGACTTCCTGATCCAAGCACACCTCCTCCAGACCCTTTGGGGGGACCCCGAGGCAACAGCCGGCCAGCTCAGAGACATCATCCCTCCAGCGTGTCCTGTCCTTCCACCAGGTGTCCTCCTAATGGGACATGCCTGGAACACCTCCTGATGGAGGCGACCAGGAGGCCAGATGCCCGATCCTCCTCAGCTGGCTCCTCTCCACATGGAGGAGCAGTGACTCTACTCCAAGCTCCTCCCAGGTAACTGAGCTCCTCACCCGATCTGGAAGGGTGCACCCAGCCACCCTGTGAAGGAAACTAATTTCAGCCACTTGTATCCCCAATCTTGTCCTTTTGGTCATTACCCAGATCTCATGACCATAGGTGAGGGTGGGAACGTAGATTCATGGGTACATCGAGAGCTTTGACCCGCTCAGCTCCCTCTTCCCCAAGACAGTCCAATACAACGAACGCATCACTGCCCATGCTGCACTGATCCGTCTATTGATCTCACGCTCCATCCATCCCTCACTCGTGAACAAGACCCCCGAGATACTTGAACTCTTTACTTGAGACAAGGACTCTCCACTGACCTGAAGAGGGGAATCCACCTTTCCCCGGAGGAGAACCATGGCCTCGGGTTTGGATGTGCTGATCTTCATACCGGCCGCTTCAGACTTGGCTGCAAACCGTCCCAGTGCACGTTGGAGGTCCTGGTTTGATGAGGCCAACAGGACAATATCATCTGCCAACAGCAGAGATGATATCCTGAGGTTCCCAAACTGGACACCCTCTGGTCTAGGGGTGTAAATAATAATCGTTTTGTGTCGATCCATCGATCCAACAGCCAACGATCCGATGCATCGATACGTCTGCAAGAGTAGCGTCTCATGTTTTTTTTTTCCTCCGGTCTATTTTTATCCATTTGCTCCTGGGCGTAATTCTCCCTCCCGTGCTGCGGTGGCGCTAACCTATTTTGCCCTCCTATCTCTCTGGTTATCCTCCTGCAGCAGTGTGTTGCAGTGGGCGTAATGCAGAAATCTTTGATTTATGCTCAATATTGAAGCGTGGTCTGCGCTAAACGCTGTGTGTCTAGATACGGCCGAGGCGGAGAGGAAGTGGGGGCGACTTTGTCCGACAACTTAGGGACATGACGGTGAAAAATAGAGGGGATCCAGGTGGAGAAAGGGTCCCAGCGTTCTCGCACATCTCGTTCTTCTAGTGGGTCAAACTTCATGAGTTGTTTTCCACAACTTCGGTCACAAAAACAAAACAAGCCGGCCTCCTGTCTGCGGTCAGTTAGATTGCAGCGGAGCGTCGGTGGAAGGGGCGGGGATGTTCTGCATATGTACAGACATACGTCCCTATTGCATTGTGGAGAACGAAGGCTTCCGATACCTGCTCTACACTCTGGAGCCGAGGTATTGCATTGCTCTCATAGCACTGATATTGGACAGTATTTATGATGAGAGGCCTTTCAGAATCTATAACGCAGGGGTATTATTATTTTTCAGTGACTGAGGTTTTAATAGGAATAGGCGGAGTACAACTTTTCTACTTCTGTTATTTGCTGTTGTTTCTCAAATAAAATGCATAATGATATTACAGCTTTCATTGATTTATTTCAAATTTGAAACATTGTCTAGCCTGTAAGGTAAAAAAACAAAACAATAAAACAACCAATTAATCGAATCGTATCGTGGTTTATTCTTGAGTATCGAAAATAATAAAATCGTTGGGTCGCTATGATGGATGTGATTTACATCCCTACTCTGTCCCTGGCCGCGCCCAGACATTCTGTCAATAAATGTAATGAACAGAACCGGTGACAAAGGGCAGCCATGGCGGAGACCAACATGAACCGGGAACAGGTCTGACTCACTGCTGACAATGCATCCAACACCGGGGCCCTGCAACCGAGAAGCATTTCTAACTACCTCAGTGACTTCAGCCTGGCTAAGGGGGGAGTTTGCCTCTGAGTCCCCAGCCTCTGCCTCCTCCTCGGAAGGTGGAGCGAAGGGATTAAGAAGATCCTCAAAGTACTCCTTCCACCGCCCAACAACATCCACAGGCGAGGTCAGCAGCTTTCCCACCCCGCTGTAAACCGTGTTGGTGAAGCACCGCTTCCCCTTCCCAAGGCGGTGGACACACTCGAGGCCAACCAATAGTCCTCCTCCACGGCCCCTCCTAACTCCTACCTGACCCGAGTTTTTGCCTCTGCGCCCACATGAGTTGCAGCACGCTTGGAGTGCCACTAGCTAACAAGGCCAGGTAGACCTCCTTCTTCAGCTTGACGGCAGCCCTTATTTCCAGGCGCCACCACCGGGTTCAAGGAATGCCGCCGCTACAGACATCAGAGACCTTATGGCCACAGCAACGAACGGCCGCATCAACAATGGAGGAGGAGAACATGGACCACTCCGACTCCATGTCTCCAACCTCTCACAGGATCTAGGAGCAACTTGTCCGGAGTTAGGAGTTGAAGACCTCACTAACAGAGGGATCCACCAGACGTTCCCAACAGACCCTCACAACACGCTTAGGCCTGCTGGGTCTGATCGGCTTCCTCCCCTGCCAGTGGATCCAGTTCACCACCATGTGGTGATAGGCTGACAGCTCAGCCCCTCTCTTCACCCGAGTGTCCGAGACATGCGACCTGAGATCAGATGACACAACTACAAAGTCGATTATCGACCTCTGGCCTAGGGCGTCCTGGTGCCTCATGCACTTATGGAAGCCCTTGTGCTCGAAAATGGTGTTCGTTATCGACATAAGCACAGAAGTCCAATAACAGAACACCATTAGGGTTCAGATCGGGGAGGCTTTACCTACCGATCACCCCTGTCCAGGTCTTACTGTCGCTGCCCACGTGGGCGTTGAAATCCTACAGTAGGACCGTGGATTCCCCAGTTGGAGCACCGTCTAGTATCCCTCCCAGGCACTCCAAGAAGGCCGGATACTC